CCCGGCTAGTATCCTAATCAATTGGATGTTTGTGTGCTGCAACAACTAAGCGGTGATGGGTGCCTTGACAATGAACTGAGGCTCCACAAATTGCTAAAGTATCTTGTAAATCTCCAAAAGGAAAAGTACACAATTTTTCCATAATTTTAGAATTGTGGTTCTGTGTTCTCCTTTTAAAAATGAAGTAAGCTGTAATTGAGAACTATTAACAGAATGGTACGTATATAAGTCTTTAACAACTTCACTATGTCTGTAAGTAAATCACTATATTTCTTCTCTTTGCATTCTGCTACCTTGTCAGAGAAGAGTTTGCTAGGCACTTTTGTTGTTGTGAAGGTCTTTATATATTACAGAGAGTTGCTGCAAATTGTTTACAAAAGATGGTTTAGGCAGGTTAAATTAATTAATTAATTTTTTGAGACAGAGTCCAATCTGTTGCCCGGGCTGAGTGTCGTGGTGTCGTCATAGCTCATAGCAACCTCAAACTCCTGGCTTGAGCAATCCTCCAACTCAGCTCTCTGGTAGCTGGGACTACAGGCACATACCACAATGTTGGGCTAACTTTTTCTATTTTTTGTAGAGATAGGGTCTCACTATGTTGCCCGACTGGTCTCAAAATTCCTGGCCTCAGGTGATCCTCTGCTTCAATCTCCCAAAGTGCTAGAATTATAGGTGTGAGCCTACAGTGCTAGGATTATACCTGGCCCAGAGGTTTAAATGGAGCCAGATGCATAAACATTTTTATTCTGCAAAAGATGTGAAGAAATTTCCAATTGAGTTGAAAGTTTAAGTCATGTCATCACAAATAAGTGATTTCTGCCTCCTGTGCCTTCCAGGAAGCTCTTAATACTGATTTGTGCTTATAAACTCCTTTATTAGTAGCCACTTGTTCGTTCACTGCTCAGTCATTCACTGGAATGTCCTGAACACCTGCAATGTGCCAGGTACCATGCTAGCCCTTAGGGACATAACATAATAGGACAGATGAGGTTCTGTGCCATGGAGCTTACAGTGCAGGGGGACACAAATAAACCAGCCAGTGATTCTCAAGGTGGGTGTGCACGAGGGCCAGGCATGGCTTGTGTGTTAGCAGGCTGGGGTGAGATAGCGAGATGTGAAGAGAAGTGTTTAGAAATTTCTATCATAATTTGACAGAAACATTTTCTGTTTGTTGAGTCGAGTAAAAAAAAAATCAAGGTTTATCTTTTTTGATTTCATTTTGCTAGTAATTAGTTTTATTTTAAGTTTTATTTTATACTATTTTATAAAAATATAGAACTTCAATGGATTGGGCATTTAGAAAAATTCAAACTACACCTGCAGAAACTTTGAGAAGCACTACTCTAAACTACAAATTGCAATTCGCACCATGAAAAACGTGATGGGGGAAAACCTGGTCTGAGGAGGGTGGCAATTAAAGACACCCAGATTTGGGGTGAACACAAGGTAGACACATGTGGCACTGCCCTTCCTTCATGCCCCTTTCTGGTTGCAAAACAAATGGCAGCTCCCTCCCGACACCATTGGAGAGGTCAATTGTCAGATCCAGAAGAACACTATGATAATAGTATCTCAACTGAAGTCCAAGCCTGAGACAGGGTTTTCAGAGCAACTTTCTTATAAAGGTCTAGCTTGCAAATTCTTTTAAAGAAACTTTTTGTGCCTTGGACACTTACTGACTGAAATAAGATATTGCCAAGATGGAATTTAATTTATAGAAGGATTTCCTCAAAGATAGATACTACATTGTGCAACCAGACCAAAAAAGGCAAAGCATGGAAAAGGGAATTCAAATTCATAATTTTTCTGAGAAGTAAGACTAGGGCCTGGGTCATAGAAAAGTTGGATTATCTGGTCTTCTAGTATTAATAATTGATGTTTGTGTGCTGCAACAACTAAGCAGTGATGGGTGCCCTTGATAATGAAGCTGAGGCTCCACAAATTGCTAAAGTATCTTGTAAATCTCCAAAAGGAAAAGTACACAATTTTTCCATAATTTTAGAATTGTGGTTTCTGTGTTCTCCTTTTAAAAATGAAGTAAGCTGTAATTGAGAACTATTAACAGAATGGTACGTATATAAGTCTTTAACAACTTCACTATGTCTGTAAGTAAATCACTATATTTCTTCTCTTTGCATTCTGCTACCTTGTCAGAGAAGAGTTTGCTAGGTCACTTTTGTTGTTGTGAAGGTCTTTATATATTACAGAAAGTTGCTGCAAATTGTTTACAAAAGATGGTTTAGGCAGGTTAAATTAATTAATTAATTTTTTTGAGACAGGGTCTCAATCTGTTGCCCAGGCTTGAGTGTCGTGGTGTCGTCATAGCTCACAGCAACCTCAAACTCCTGGGCTTGAGCAATCCTCCCAACTCAACCTCTCTGGTAGCTGGGACTACAGGCACATACCACAATGTTGGGCTAACTTTTTCTATTTTTTGTAGAGATAGGGTCTCACTATGTTGCCCCGACTGGTCTCAAATTCCTGGCCTCAGGTGATCCTCCTGCTTCAATCTCCCAAAGTGCTAGGATTATAGGTGTGAGCCTACAGTGCTAGGATTATACCTGGCCCAGAGGTTTTAAATGGAGCCAGATGCATAAACATTTTTATTCTTGCAAAAGATGTGAAGAAAATTTCCTAATTGAGTTTGAAAGTTTAAGTCCTGTCATACAAATAAGTGATTTCTGCCTCCTGTGCCTTCCAGGAAGCTCTTAATACTGATTTGCTTATTAAACAAGTCTAAGTAAATTCCTAGGAAATCATGGCCGGTCAGCTATCCAAACCATATTTTGTAATTTCTCTGAACTTATTTTATTATTCTGAAAATAATCATGGAAGACCCATTATTACTACCTTGAATAATTAAAGCATAAAAGGCATATTAAATAATTAAATAGGTTACAATGCTTGATGTTGACAAGTGACCAGACACATTTTGCTGGTGGGAGTGTAAAATTGAGGCTCCCTTCCTGGCAATTTGGCGATAAAGAGATTTTAGAAATTGTATGTCCCTTACCCTTTTAAAATCTTGAGGATATATAATCAGAGATAAGGATTAAGATTTTTGTTCAAGAATATCTGTCATTATGACATTTATAAAAATGCAAACTTAGAACCATCCTAAAAGTCCAGTAATTGGGACTTTGTGAAATAAATTATGGTGCATCCATCTGATGCAATATTATACAGTTAAATGCTCACAATACAATGTTATCTTAAAAATGAGGCACACAAAATTATATTTACAGTCTGATTCCTCCTATTTGTTAAATACACAAACACAAGGATTTATCAAGACTATTCAGGAGTAATTTTCTTTGGGTGATGGACTATAGGTGATTTTAATTTTTAAAGTATTCTTTATAGCAGTGATCCCCAGCTTTTTTGGCACCAGGGACCATTTTCATGGAAGACACTTTTTCCACAAACTGGGGAGAGGGGAGATGGTTTCAGGATGATTTGAGTGCATTACATTTATTGTGCACTTTATTTCTATTATTATTACATTGTACATATAATGAAATAATTATACAACTCACCTTAGGTTGCTGATTCCCTGCTCTATAGTTTTAAAATTCTCTACAGTGAATATGTACTACTTTTAAAATAGTGATGCTTATTTAAAAAATAAAATAAAAATATATTAGAAGTCAGTCATCAGATACCATTCCATATTCATCACTTACATATATTTAAAATGTTATACTATAATCATGAAACAACCTTAGCCAAACCTTACAGACTTTTAATCAAGGGTATTTCTGATATAGTCTCTTGTTCCATAGACTGTGTGGTTGGTGGGCTTCATCAGTGCTTTTCAATCACATAAGTTATTTGACACATGACATTGTCATGATTAACTCAACATGAAAAATCCGATTTAGCCCAATGCATAAGTACCACTAATCTTATTGGTGACAAGAAGCTCCTGATAAGGAATGGGTAGAAGAGGTGAGAACGAGGGCAAGTTTGGGGATTTAACTTCACTGAAACCATTTTCTTTGAAGGGTTGGATATCTGATCCGATGTCGTTTACTTCAGATCTTTGAACAAATCATTACACAGGTCTGTTTGGGAGGGAAAGAGTTAAGCCTAGAAGCAGTGCTTGATTTAGGATTTGTTTTGGAATCACTTATCTATTGGGTTGCTGACAGCAATAAACATTTTCTAAATACCTAAAGGAATGAAAGTAGATTGTCGTCCAGCAAGAGGTGGCAGATGAAACTTGGTTATTTCTCTATATTCATTCAGATGAATGTTTGAGTTAGGGAAAAAAAAAACCCAAACCAAAACAAAACAGATAAAAGTTACCTTTTAAATGTGCCATGCATCTGCTCCTGGTGTGTGGTCCTCTCTGATGTCCAAGATGGCCTATAGAAGATAACTATTTTGTAAAATAGAGTTCAAAAAGGCAAAGATATCATCCACATAGACCAAACATACAATAACTCCTGCAAATGGATTGTCAGTAGGCATTGACATGCATTCCCTCTTTTGGCCAGGAAGGGGTAGAGTTATTCTCAAGGTTAAGTAAAGGTCATCTCTCTCTGCCATGCTGCCACTCAGTGGTGATGGAAAAGCAAAGCCTGAAGTTGGGTGCCTGGAAATTTCACTTAAGAGACAAAACAGCCCAGTCGGTGTGTTCACTCGGGTCATCTCAGTTAGTTTTCCCATAATTGTACTAGATCAGTAGTCAAGTGAAACGCCAGATTCATCATTGATAGAATCTCTGTCCTGGTTGACAGTCCTTTAATGTGTGTGCCTCCCTGGCCAGAGGCCATTACTCCTAACTGCCTCTTTGTCCCGCAGCAGTTCATCGATCTTTCATGCACACCAAATTTAATCTTCACGTTAGATGATGACAGTGAGGAATTTGAGCTGAAATACCTATTGGACTAGTTTCGTAAACTTCAATCACTTCAGGAAACAAAGTCTTAAAAGGCTTATGAAAATTCAAAAGTAGAAAGCAAATAATGATGGCTTTCTAGGAATTTAAGGTTGCTTGTTACAGGCTCTCCATATTGATAATTCTAAATATCGAGGTCCTTACACTACTTGCCTTCTCAACATGTGAAAAAAAGTCATACCTCTCTTATTGGACGGTCGAAACAATTTAATGGTAACTACTTCTGATGATTCCTGATATGCTAGGCACTGGGCAACCAAGATGAATCAAACAAGTCCCTGCAAAGACAAATAAAACGGCCATCTGCCTTGGGACCAGGGTGTGTACTGTAGGGTACATTTGGAGTGAAACGGAAGCCCACCTGGGTGCTGGCTGGGGCCAGGGAATGAGCAGGGAGAAGCAGTGAGACCCGGGATCAGGCTTTGTGACTTCCAGAGGTTTCGCTCACTCTGCCTGATTCAACCCTCAGGATAATCGAGGTGGGTATCTCCATCTAACAGGTGAGGAAACAAAGGTTTCAGGGGTGAACTCTCCCATGGCCTCATGCACCCAGTAGGAGGTGAAGCGAGGACTTGAGAACCAGTGTCCAGAGCTGCTGTGATCCAAAGCTCAAACTCCTAACCACGCATGCTCTGTCCCCTGAGGAGAGGGGCGAAGTTGGAAAGGGTCCCCATGAGTTAATCCTGCCAAGCCAGTGTCATGGGGCAGCAGGTTCAGGCAGGGAGAGAGAAGGAAGGGCATTTCCCCAGACACATGGAGCTGCGTGAAGGTCTCTGTCACCCAGCTAGTGGGGACTGAAAACTCTGAACTGTGAAAATTTGGGGGGATTTTTCTTTTTCTTCCATGATGGAAGGGACTTTCTGGAAACCCAGTGGCTTTCTTGCCTTTCCCAGGAGCTCGCAGCCTCATTTGTCAGGCTGACTTTGTAGGTATGGTACAAAACTCATTTCACTTCCCCTGCTGACTTTGCACGTACAAAGTGGTTTCTCCTCTCTCAGATTCTTCTCAAAAAGCTATTGTGAAGAGAAGTGGAAAAGCAGTTTACATTTCAAGCTTCAGAGATAAGGTAGCCCAACAGCCTCTGTCTGTCTGTTCATCCATCCACCTTTTGTTTTATTTATTTATTTTTGAGACAGAGTCTCACTTTGTTGCCCAGGCTAGAGTAAGTGTCGTGGTATCAGCCTAGCTCACAGCAACCTCAATCTCCTGGGCTCAAGCGATCTTGCTGCCTCAGCCTCCCGGGTAGCTGGGACTACAGGCTGCGCCACCATGTCTGGCTATTTTTTTCTATATATATTAGTTGGCCAATTAATTTCTTTCTATTTATAGTAGAGACGGGGTCTCTCTCTTGCTCAGGCTGGTTTCGAACTCCTGACCTTGAGCAATCCTCCCGCCTCAGCCTCCCAGAGTGCTAGGATTACAGGCATGAATCACCACGCCCAGCCCATCCATCCACCTTTTAGAGCCAGGGCACAGCAGCACAGGATTCTGGGTGGACAGGCTTTAGATGTCCTTTACTTCCCTCCATGCCCAACCTCTCCACTTGGGTTACTCATTCATTCCATAGGGATTTATTGGATGCCCTCTTGTGTTCTAGATACTGAGCCAGGCCTTGGGGATAAGGTGACAAAACAATGTCTCTGGCCTGGTGCAGCTTGCACAAAGGGGTAAATGTGAGAGCTGCAGCAGAGAAGGGAAGGATGTGCCTAGGTGACCTGTTCAACTCTGAAGGAATCTCAGTCTAAAGGGAGAGGGGAAAGGGTAGGGGAGGAAGGGTGCTCAAGGCAGAAGAAATAGCAGGCACAGGCCCTGAAGTGGGAGGGAGAGGGGCTTTCTGATGGCCGGAAAGGAGGTCAGTGTGGCAGGTTCCAGCCCCCAACCCGGTATAAGGAGCCCTTACTAGTCTCCTCTCTTGGAGGTGTGTAGACAAGAGGCTAGTTAGAGTTATATTGCTGAGAACAATTACAGAGACCTATGCACATAACTAAAGAACACCAAGTGCATTTGTAAGTATCACAGGATAACAGCGAGAGAAGTGGTAAGGTACAGCCACGTGTCACATAACGAAGCGAATGCATTCTGAGAAATCACTAGGCAGTTTCATTGTACGAACATCATAGAGTACACTGACACACCCTGGATGCCCGCTGTACACCTAGGCTGTGTGGCTCTTGGGCTATAGACCTGTACAGCACGTTACTGCACTGAATACTGTAGGCAGTAGTAAACCAATGGTAAGTATTTGTGTATTTAAACATAGAAAAGGTACAGTAAAAATACAGTATAAAAAAGCTAAAAAATGGTACATTTGTATAGGGCATTTACCATGCATGGAGCTTGCAGGACTGGCAGTTGCTCTGGGGGAGTCAGTGAGCTAGTGGTGAGTGAATGTGAAGGCCTAGGACATTACTGTACACCACTGTAGACTGTATAAACACTACACACTTAAGCTACGCTGTTTCGAAACACAATTTTCCTTTCTTCAACAATAGAATAACCTTAGCTTACTGTAATTTTTTGACTTTCTAAACTTTTATGGGACCTGTAAATATTCTCTTATATGAAGAAAAGGTATCTGAAGATATAATTGCATTAAGGATCTTGACATGAGATTATTCTGGATTATCCAGTTATAAGTGTCCTTTTAGCAGAGAGGCCTAGGGAGAGTTGATACTGAAGAGGAGAGAGTGGTGGGACCAGTGAGACAGGCATTGCAGGGACAGGTAACAGGCCAAGCAATACAGCCCCAGAGGCTGGACAGGGCAAGGAAGAGATTCTCCCCTCAGCCTCCGGAGGGAGTTCAGCCCTCCAACACCCTGATGTTGGTGAAACTGGTCTCAGACTTCTGCCTGCAGAACTGTGAGAGAATACATTTCTGTTGTTTTAAGCCACTGGGTTTGAGGTAGTTCATTACTGCAGCCCCCGGAAATGAATGCAATGATGGACAACGGTTGGCAGGAGGTGAGCACAGGGTCCAGGGCGTGACCGCCATGAACAGCCCAGGTTGCAATAAGGATTTCTAGGACTCCAGGGCCGACTGAAGGCCAAGCATGGTTTTAAAAATCTCATACACTTTGTGTTTCCCACTAGTCTGTGAAATGAGTGTTGTTTTACAGAGGAAAGGACTGAGGCTCTGAGAGGTAACAGAACCTGCTAGAGGTCACATTGGCAGGATGTAACGTAGTAGAGCTGGGATTTGAACTCAGGTTTAATGGATACTGAAAGCTCATGCTTTTTTACTTTGCTCCCTGGAGTTTGGCTATTTAATGCATATTTATTCACTATTTGAATAAAAATATGGAATTTTATTAGTATTCAAATTTGCAAATTAAAACTACACACCATTCCTTTACTCACTTTATTAGCAAAAGTGGGACAAGTGGTGATTACTGAACCCCTGGCTGGCGTCTTGCTCACTCTTGCTGCTCTATTCTGGGCCACTCGGTGCCTAGTTAAAAACGGGGAACTATTTCAGAGGAAGACAGGGGGAAAAGAAACACGGAGATGCCAGAATCTCTGCCACCGTGGGGGTGGTGGGTGCCCAAGCGCAGCAATGATGCCTGGGGGTCCTGAGACTGGGACTCAGGGTCGGAGGGAGCACCCAGGCTGGGGGCCTTGAATAGGGTAGTTGGCTGGGTGCATGTGGACACAGAGCTCTGAGCCTGGTGAGCTCACAGCAGCTTGGGAGGGAGAGGTGGGAGGAGGTGGAATCTTGGGCCATATGTGCCTGGAAAAGGCACAAAGGCAGTGACAATAAACACGAGTATGCTCTCCCATTTTCTGGGATAGAATAAACATAACCCGAAGGAGGGTGAGGAAGCCTTGTAATGAATGATTCTGAAATTTTTGTCAACAATAGACAATGGGAAATCAAAATATATTCAGTCAGATTTGGAAAAATGGAACACTGTGACATTTAACATACTCCATTTGAATTTGAGGAACAATTCCTAAGGGTACCAGGGTAATCCCCATCGTTGGCAAGTTACAGGGAGTAAACTGATAGCACCCTTATGGAGATCAGTGTAGTGTCACATGTTATGTGTCTTAAAAATATTCAAGCCCTTTGACCCTGTGATAATTCCAACATAAAGTGCTTAGACAAAGGACATGATTTCACAAAGCTTCTCTGCAAAGATGTTTTTTGCACTGATTGTTTAAAACAGAGGAAAGCAGGAGACAATCTAAATGGCCAGTGTAGGGGACTTGTCTTTCTCTCATGTTTCTGCTTCAGTGATTTAAGCACTTCTGCCTTCTTGTGCAAGTAGTCGGAGGCCGCTGCTGCCTTCTCTCTCTCCATACTCTTCATACCCCTGGAAGGAAGTGTAACTCACCCGATGGGTAAAAATGGGCCAAGGGTGACTGCACAGGAGTCGTGTGCTACCTGTCTGGCCCTCAGAGATCCTGGTGCATGCAGCTGGTCAGGCCACGTCTCGGCTCTAGGTCTGTGGGCACAGCCCTCTTCATGCATCCCCAGGTCTAGATTTAGGGAAGAAAGCCTGATTTTGGCTTCATGTTTATGCAGCGTTTGGAAATCTGGCTCCATTTGTAATAAGGTAGATACTGTATTTTAATTCTCACCAGGTGCTTAAGTCCTTCACAGAATGGTGGTGAAGAGAGAGTGATTGAACTTCCCCCATGACATGCCAACCCACGGTACATTAAGTGACAACACTCATAAGAGGTGGCATTAGAAACCAAAGCGTCACAGGAAGAGATGGTTCTCTTGGGGCAGCAGCAGCAGCTGATACAGGCTGACTCATAGCTGCTTTTAATATGCCAGGCCCATGTAACAGGCTTTACGACACCAATGGGCCACTCAGCCAACTATGGTGCAATTGGAGTGTGACATCTGAGTCACTGTGAGGCTCTGGTTGGCATCTTCTGTGGTCCCCTGTGACCGTAACCTATACAAGAGGAGCTTGTGCATGCTGAATTTGAAGAATTAGCCTAAGGCTGGTATTGAATTATTGGGCAATTATCTCCCCTGAATCATGTGTAATTCTTGGTCCACAGATGCACTTATTCAAGAATTATAACTGTTATTTTCTATTACGCCATTATTAGTGACTCCTCTGGTCCCTAACTGAGGTTTCCATGGCATCTCTGGCCTCTGGGACTTACATGGCACTGTAGCACAGAGGGGGAAAGAACCTCTGGTCCTGGTCATGGGTCCATACAGGTAATCACTGAGACATCCACTGTCCTTGTCCACATGGCCCCATTTAGCTTTGGTGGCTATCTTAAAGTGCTGTTCTTTGAAAAATAAACTCATTAGGTTAAGCCGTTGAAATTTTAGGGTTGTTACCATGCATGACTTAAAAATGTCCTGATTAGAAAAGGTAGAATAATTTTCCTTCTACCTCAAAATAGTAAACAGCACCACAGTTAACCCAATCATTAAATTGAGTGACCTACAACATGACAACTGCCTGCCTGCTCGTATCCCAGTGAGAAAAATCAAGAATTTCTCATTCCTCTCCCTTTTTCTGCCCGCCTTCCTCCACCTTCTAGCAAGTCTGTACTGTGGTTACTGGCTGCTGGATCTGTATTGTACAATGTCCTTGGTTCTGGGACAATTAGTGTAGAAGTTGATCTAGTTGGGTTTTCTAAGTATTGTGGACATGGGGCTGTTGATATGATATTCTTATGTATCCTACTGGCTCTTTGAAAAAGTGGGAGACATAAGAAATTTTGGTTAGATCAATTTGCTGAAGCAATGACACTCCTTCTAATGAGGGCCTGGGCAGCAGCTTCTTGAGAAAACCAGGCATCTGACTGATCCTTTTTACTAGAACAGAGCAGGTCAACAAAGTAGGAACAGTAGAATTTTGGATACAAATTCTGTTGGCTTTTCATTAGGTGATTTCCTATTTGGACTTTTATTTCTCTCTGGGTGCTTAATCACTGCAGCGGGTTTTGTTAACATTTGGAACATTTTTGTATTAGTGACCCTTTCTATTTAGAGTATTTTATGCTATTGTTTCGGCTCATTGCAAAACAGTGTTTTTCAAACTTTTTCTTAAATTTTGACTTGCATTATGTATCATGGCCCTAAACTGAAGCACTGATTTTACAAAATAAAAACAGCTTAGCTGGAGTTCCCCTGAAAGCAGAGCTGTGACAAAGGCTTGTGGGTAGGCAGTTTACTGGGAAAGTGATCGTGGGGAGCATAAGCGAGTAGCAGAGTGAGGAAAACAGCACAAACCCACGCAGGCATGTGTGACTGAGCTCTCCGCTGCCATGGCAACTGCAGCTCAATCCCACAGGATCTTCTGAGGAGCTCATGGAATGGAGCACAGAGCTGTCTCCTTGGGGGCTGGGCAGAGGTGTGCTTATCCACTGATGCCTGTCCCATGTTGGGCTCCAGGCTGGTCCTGTGTATGTTAACTCCCACCTTCCAGGATGTACTGCAAGTGGCAGGTACCTGTGTGGATCTGATCAAAATTTGCACAGAACTGTTTGGGGCATTAGTGGCTGGAATAAGAGGCATACAGAGAGGGTCTGAAGGGGCCATGAGAGATTTCAATCAAAATATTTGCCCTCCCTAAGTGCGATGCCTTCTGACATATTCTACTCGAGTTCATCGCTCTCACACATGTACTGGCTAGTTGAGGCCCACTAACCAGTGGTTCTCAAAGTCTAGGGTCAGGAGACCCTATCTCAAGGGGTCTTTGAGGTCAAAATCATTTTCATAGTAATGCTAAGATATTATTTGTCTTTTTCATTCTCATTCTCTCATGAATATGCAGTGGAGTGTTCAAGATTGTGGATGTGTGGCGATGTAACAGGATGAGTGCAGAAGCAGATGGGAGAGCCCAGCTGGGTTCCATTAACACAGACATTAAAGAGATTTGCAAACATGTAAACAATTCTACTTGTCTCATGAAATTTTTCTTTTGGAAATATTGTTATTTTTCATACAATATGTATTTGTGTTAATTTTATTGTATTTTGGGAATCAGCTTATTATCACAGCAATGATTTTGGTTAAACGTTTATGTAACAGAAATTTTCTATTTCTTATGTGGTAATAATGTGATCAGTAAAATTAATTTTATAATAAAAAGTAATGGGTTTATTATTTATAAATCTCTATTTTAATTTCTAGATATAACCCACATACACAAAAAGTCTTTGGGGCTCTTACTCTTTATGGGTTAAAGGAGTCCTGAAAATAAAAAAGGTGAAGTGCTGCACCAAATTGACCATGACCCTCAAATAAATTGCTGCCCATAGATTGAAGAACATTGGTTTAAACTTTTATGAGTTGTGAGCACAACGTGGTTGAGAAACAGGATGAAAAGTTAATCTGGGCCAGGCGTAGCGGCTCACGCCTGTAATCCTAGCACTCCGGGAGGCCGGGAGGATGGCTTGAGGTCAGGAGCTCAAAACCAGCCTGAATAAGAGAGAGATCCTGTCTCTACTAAAAATAGAAAGAAATTAATTGGCCAACTAAAAATATATAGAAAAAATTAGCCGGGCATGGTGGCGCATACCTATAGTCCCAGCTACTCAGGAGGCTGAGGCAGAAGGATTGCTTGAGCCCAGGAGTTTGAGGTTGCTGTGAGCTAGGCTGACGCCTCGGTACTCTAACCCAGGCCAACAGAGTGAGACTCTGTCTCAAAAAAAAAAAAAAAAAAAAGTTAATTTGAAGTTTAATGTTTAGGGCTGTACTAGAGTTCATTAAGGTTCTATTCTGACCTGTTTTCAAGTCTCAGGCCCATTGCTGGTCCTAGGGGAGACAAGGAAATACTGCCGATGTGACCAGGAGTCTCATCAAGAAGGGGACAGAACTGCTCAGACAGCTGCTGGCTTTCTCTTCTGAAGTGGACAGCTACTGCCCTGCTTGACCACAAGCTCAGTTAAGTCCAATCACATAAGGCAGTCATTCTCAATCCTGGCAGCACATTACAGGTGCCTGGAAGACAATAAAAAATTAACTCTGCCTAGGGCCCCACTCGAGACCAAAGAATCAACATTTCTGGAGGCAGGCACAATCACTGTTTTTTTTCTCTTTATTTATTTCTTGATTTTTTAGATTAATTGTAATAATTTATTTAACCCAGTATATCCAAAATGTTATTTTAACATATGATCAATATATTATTATCAAGGTTTTTTTTGGTATAAATCTTTCAAAGTCACTCTGTATTTTAAGCTTCCAGCACATCTCAATTCAAACCAGCCTGTTCCAGGTAGCCCCACGTGGCCAGTGGCTGCCTCACTGAAGTTCACCTCTGAGGGCTCTGACTTTAAGACCTCAGGGAGGTGAAGGGCCTGCATCCACCTTTTCTGCCAGAGAGTAGGGAACACTCTCTTCCTGCCAAAATCTATTCTCAGACCCAAGGGTGGGAGAGATGGTGCCCAGAGAGAGTGAGCAGGGAGCTACAAGAAAGTGTCCACAGGTAGACCACTGTTTTCCCACCTGCTGCTTGGAAGGGGCCCATCCCCCCCTCTGAAGATCAGACAACGAACAATGGACAGGGGGGCCCAGGAGAAGGAAATACATGTTTTCATATTTATCCACAGCCTTTCCTCCAGAGTGGAGATGTGGAGAAAAAAGATTAAAGGAAAATTTATTTTGCAATTTGGCCTTGGCCCTAATTGTCAGGCTGGGGTTGTCTGTTTCCTCCTGTGGTATGGGGAACTATCTGATTTTAAGCACCAATCACAGGTGCTTAAATACTTACATGTATTTCTGTATAACTCAACACCATCTGACAAGAGATCTGACTTTAAATATAGGGAAAATAAAATCAGTATGTATATGGTACCCTCTGTTTGCCAGTTAGCTAATAATCAACCTGTCACTGAATCCTGGCATTCTATCTGCAGTGGGTGTACATATAAGTTAGCTATAAGTGCTTATTAGCTTGTAATTGAGCAGGTCAGCAATTTAGTCTGTGCTCAGCTGGGCCATATTCTGGACTTACCTGGACTCCTTTAGGCATGTGTGATCAGCTGCTGGTTGACTAGGCAGCTGTGCTTCTGTGAGTGAGCTGGCTGTCGACTGAGCACTTTGGTTCTCCTTCCCATGGTATCTCTTTTCTTTTTTTGAGACAGAGTCTCGCTTTGTTGCCCAGGCTAGAGCGAGTGCCATGGCGTCAGCCTTGCTCACAGCAACCTCAAACTCCTGAGCTCAAGCAATCCTCCTGCCTCAGCCTCCCGAGCAGCTGGGACTACAGGCATGTACCACCATGCCTGGCTAATTTTTTCTATATATATTAGTTGGCCAATTAATTTCTTTCTATTTATAGTAGAGACGGGGGTCTCGATCTTGCTTAGGCTGGTCTCGAACTCCTGACCCTGAGCAATCTGCCCGCCTTGGGCTCCCAGAGTGCTAGGATTACAGGTGTGAGCCACCGCACCTGGCCCTCCCATGGTATCTCATCCTCCAACAAGTTAACATTGCCTTGTTCTCATGGGGATGGCAGAGTTCATTTCCTGATTTCTGGAGTGTCCTCTCTATGAATTTCCCAGTGCCTGCTGGTCACAGGGTGACAGAGGCTGTGGCAGAGGTACCTGGACCTCCCAGAGCAAAGGAGAAGGAGCTTAAGATGGACCTCAGCAGTGGACATGTGGGTAAGAGAGACAAAGGCCCAGCCAGATCCCAGAAGCCGCACCTTCCTCTCCCGTTGCATGCCTGATTTTTTTCCCCCTTTTAATTGAGGTGTAACTTATATCAAGACCACAAATCTCAATAAAATAGCCCCATGATATTTTTAAAACATGTATTATACCCATGTAACCATCATCCAGATCAAGATGTAGGGCATTTTCAACTCATCAGCAGGCTCCTTCATGCCTCCTAGTTAATACCCTGCTCCAAAGGAAACTGTTCTTCTATACTTACCAACATTTGTTAATTTTTCCTAATTGTGAATTTCATATAAATAGAATCATATAGTATACATTTCTTTATGTGTGACTTTTTTTTGCCCAGCATTATGTCTGTGATATTCATTCACATTGTTAGCTACAGCGGTAATTCATTGTTGTTTGCATGGCCGTGCAAACAGACCACAATTTATTTACCATTCTATACTTGATAGAGTTGGCTGGTTCCTTTAAACTGTTCTTAAGTGTGGTGACATGCTCTTACCATAAAATAACACAGAACAGCGGACAAACTAGGGAATAAGAAGAGCATATTTATGTTACCCATCAAGTCACCCAGCATGACTTACTGGGTAAGGATATGGTTATTGAAATAAAAGTCCTGGTTTTCCCAATTACTTAAAATTATTAGTTTTCTTTTCCTTTTTATTTTTTGCAGAAGGTATAGTTAAATTTGCATAAGTTAAAATGTGTGACTTCATTTCTGTGTGGAAATAAATGCACGTGTATATATCCCAATGAAAAAGACCAGCCAGACTAGTATAGAGATTTGGGTACCAAAAGTTAGTTCTAAATAAATTTAGATTAGATCCGACTCAATAAGTGTGAGTGGACTCTTGGACTCTTGCTAAGTTATATATGGTTTAAAAAAATCTTATTTCTATCTAAGCTTCTTAACCTTACCCAAGAAAATCCAGATATTAATAAGGCAGTATCATTCAACCTAACTCATATACCAAATCCTGCAGTTCCCTCAACTGAACTTCCCCAAATATTGTCCAATTCAACAAAAGGCATAACCATCTACCTAGTTCTTTTTTTTTTTTTTTTTTTGAGACAGAGTCTCACTTTGTTGTCCAGGCTAGAATGAGTGCCGTGGCGTCAGCCTAGCTCACAGCAACCTCAAACTCCTGGGCTCAAGCAATCCTCCTGCCTCAGCTTCCCGAGTAGCTGGGACTACAGGCATGCACCACCATGCCCAGATAATTTTTTCTGTATATATTAGTTAGCCAATTAATTTCTTTCTATTTATAGTAGAGACAGGGTCTCGCTCTTGCTCAGGCTGGTTTCGAACTCCTGACCTCGAGCAATCTGCCCACCTTGGCCTCCCAGAGTGCTAGGATTACAGGTGTGAGACACCATGCCTGGCCTTATCTATCTAGTTCTTTAATCCAAAACAATCTTGGAATGACTCTTGATCACACTTTCAGTCAGCCCTTCCTATCCTGTACGGTCAGACCCATAACCCAGTCGGCTGTCTCCAACACATACTGCAAAACCATCCACTCCTCCAAACTCCACTACCACTCTGGTCTAAGCAGCAATCATTTCTTGCCTGGATTAATGCAATAGCTTCCTAATGGTCCCCTACTTCCATACTATTGCCTCATTCTCAACTCTCCTTCCAAATCTATTTTCCATTTACCAGTCAGAGTGACTTTTTAAGAACATAAATCAGGCCATGTCTCTCTCTAGCTTAAACACTCCCAGTAGCTTGGTACCTGAAGTGCGCCAAACTCATCACACTTAAGTCCAAACTTCCTCCATTGGCCTACAAAAGCCTTTATGATTCAGGCTCATCTCAGACTACATTCTCCCGTGTTCAGAATGCTCTAGGCTCACTGCTAGTCTTCCCTCTGTTCTTAGGATATTCATTCACGTTGTTAGCTACAGTGGTAATTCATTCTTGTTTGCGTGGCTGTGCAAACAGACCACAATTTATTTGACCACACCCAGCTCCTTCTCACCTTGCCGTCTCTGCCACTTGCCGTCTCTGCCACTTGCCGTCTCTGCCACTTCATACTTAGAAGTTCATCCTGTCCCTCCAATCTTTGTATGACTGGCTCCTCTTTTTGCTATTCAAATCTCAACCCCAACTGCCTCTGTCTGAGAGGCCTTCCTTGATCACTCAATCTAAAGTAATCACCCCTTTGCTTTCCAGAATGTCATTCTCTGCATAATACTCATTACAAATAATAGTTTGCTTAGTCTGTGTCAACCTGCCTCTAAAACATAAGCTTTTTGAGAGAGAATCTTACCATTACTACATCTCCAGGGCCTAAAGAAATACCTGGTACCTAGTGAATATTCAATAAATATGTGTGTCTTAGACATGACTCTGATGGCATAAATAATATACCCTTCCCTCAAATGTAAGACTTTGGACCCCTCAGGACAAACAGGAGAAAGGACACAAGCATCATTTGCAAATTACAACATAAATGCCTCTTGAGAGGAATTTCTTGTATACAGATACTTATCTTTTAAAGTCTGGTATATGGTAATGTAGTATTTTATTTATTCTGCCCATTAATAACTAATACTTTAGAACATTTGCAATATTAATTGAACTTAATCTAATAGAAGACCAACTTACTTTTTTTACATCTTGATACTAGGTATTAGTAAGAGACATGGTCAAAATTATGTTAAACATTTATAAGTAAATGCTTGGTGTTAGCATGTCTACATACAATTCAGCTTTTAGTGTGAAGTTCTTTGGTTGCAAGAAAGAACATTTGGTTTACTTCACTAATAGGAATATCTCTTAATGCTGGAATGGCCTCTTCTTGGTATTTCTTCTGCTGTTGATTTTGAGCATAACTATCTGTAAGAAAAGAACAAAAAGCTCTGTTAACTCAAGCAATTTCTTCTATACTCTCTGTGGCTAAGGGAGACCCACCACATAGTTTAGGCTGACGTTTTGGTAATGACGAATACCATGTTTAAAATACCATAATTAAGTAATGTCTTAAATCTTCTCTTTAGAAGAAATGTCCCCATTAAAATAAAAATGTAATCAGCAAAGTAGTTTTATTATCTCTAACTTGGAAAGAAATTAATATTTCACTCAACCATACAATGGTGGTTAAAGTCCCAAATGCATATTTCCCATAGCGACAAAATCATATCTAGGCCTTGAAAATGTATTTATATTAACACTGCAAAACTATTAAGTCATTTGGTACAAATATTCATACAAACTTAACAATTTCCCCTCTTTGCACAAACTGTCTACTTGTTATACTTCCAGTCAAGAATGTAGGGAATATAGTAGGTTATTAGGAATGAAATTTAAAAATACTGTAATTGATTTTCCAAATACATTGTATGAGTTGATGAATAAAGGTTTAGAAGAGTTGAAAAATCGTACCAGGGAACTTAAAAAATACTTTACTTCCCAGAATTTAAGCAAGTTCAGAAATCCTAATTTATCTTTTTTTTTTTTTTTTTGAGACAGAGTCTCACTCTGTTGCCCGGGCTAGAATGCTGCCATGGTGTCAGCCTAGCTCACAGCAACCTCAAACTCCTGGGCTCAGAAGGAAGCAATCCTTCTGCCTCAGCCTCCCGAGTAGCTGGGACTACAGGCATGTACCACCATGCCTGGCTAATTTTTTCTATATATTTTTAGTTGGCCAATTAATTTCTTTCTATTTTTAGTAGAGATGGGGTCTCACTCTTGCTCAGGCTGGTCTCGAACTCCTGAGCTCAAACGATTCGCCTGCCTCGGCCTCCTAGAGTGCTAGGATTACAGGTGTGAGCCACCGTACCCGGCTAATCCTAATTTATCTTAATCTTTAGATTTGAAATGAAAAGACTTAAAAAAAATAAAGCCACAAAAACATGCTGTGTCTCTTCCACCTACATAATTGTAATAAGGTTTCCATAGTGATCCTGAGGATACACACCCCCAAATCTCTCCTCCTGAACAAGGTCTGTGTGTATCTTTTTGCCATCCTTTTATCAACAGTGCCTATTTAGGACAAAAGAAGTTTCTCTCAGGCAAAGTTGCTGAGGAACATAGCATATACACTATAATTTATCAGAATTTATTTCCTCCATGAGTATAACTAGTGCATATTCATCAGAACTTATTTCCTTCATGTAATTATTTCCTTTTGTATAAGCTTTTATTTATTTCTCTAGGTTCTTATTATTGTCCCAATGTGTGTCTTGCAGCCTATTCTTCGTTGCTTTTCTAGATAGAAGTACTAATATCCCACTCTTCCATTCCCCCAGCACTTTCCTGTTATTATAAATTTACCTGTGATTGTATGAATGGAGTTGAGTGGAGAGGTACTCATCATGTTGATTCCAAACAAAAGCACATAACCAATGACTATAGTAATAAGGAGATAGACAGGTAATGCCACTGCCCAGTATCTGCAAAAGAGAATATTTAAGTACATAACAGAAACCTTAAAAGGTTGTAATTCTCGACAGTCACAAAGTTAACATATTTTTTAAACTAAATTTAATTTTTATTAAAGTAATATATTAATATGTACATAAGAGACAAATTGTTCTACAAGGTTTATAATGAAAGGCTACAGTTCTGTAGCCCACCGTCCCAACCCTGGAGTCTCACTCCCTAAAAAGGAACACTTTAACATCTGTTTTTTCTGGTACTTACCTCCTCATTTCTATATAACATGCTCATTATTATTTCTTGATTTTTTTCCAATTTCAGACATTTTCTCTATACTTCCTAATACAGAGATGAAGAATTCACCTCCTCTTTTCCTTTTCTATGCTTACATCACAATTTCTGGTTATATCAGTAGTTTTTAAAAGTTATTGTGACTATATATAAAACAATGTTTGCAAGTGAGAACCTCAGTGTATTATTATATGTTTCCTTATATAACTTTTTGTTTTTTCTGGAATTAGTAATTACATTGTTTTTGTCTATTTGCTTGGTTTCTTATGTATCTATCAATAGAGCCTTGAATTCTCTGATAGGACTCTATTATGCCTCTTGATAATGTTAAGCACATTGACTGCTCTACCTTGCCATGTTTTATTGAGTGCATTGTTTCTTTAATAATGTCCTCCCCATTCTTTTCTCTTTCTGGAAATCTACTAGTTAGATTTTTAAACCTGTTAAACTTTCCTCTATTTTCTATTTCTCTTTTGTTCTACTTTCTAGAGATTACTTTTGGTTTATCTTCTAACCTTTCAATTAAAATTTTAATTTTAGTTATCATGTTTGCAATTTAAATATAGTAATTCCCTGAACATTTCCAATGTATAGCATTTTGTTCTTATTTCAGAGTTATAATCTTATCTGAGAATTTTATGTTATTTTAAAATTTCTTTCCATTCCTTTCATTATGTCTGTTTCCTTTTTGCTTTTGTATCTCAAGTTAGAGGTTTCCCTTCAATGTCTGGTAACTTATGGCAGTTCATTTCATATTTAAAAATGAAGTGCTAACAAGCTAATTGAAAGTACTGTGTGTATGTGGGCAGGGATGGCCAACTGGTGAGCCTTACCAATAAGAGACCGGGCCACTTAATGTCGGAAATTAGATACTTTCTCTTGGGCTGGTCAGCTTCCTCAGGAAGGAACCTCCTATCTTTTTCTGGGAGGACTAGGGTGGTATGAGCCTGGGAGCCCAGTAAGGAAATGTGTTGGGGGAAGGGGTAGACCTTATCATTCAGCCACACAGATTTTCACTTACTCCTGCAGTAAGGTGCTTATTTCCCTTACTCCCACACTCGGTTAACCCTTGTAGCCCCCAGGCTAAAGACTCTCACTCAGCCTTTGCAGAGAGTAAAACTCATGTTTTCGGCACAAGAAGGCAGGGTTGGTCTCCCAGCTTTGAGGGTTGCGGGAGGAAGATTTGAAGGTCTAATCCTCTTTAAATGTTTTCAGTCCAGCCCAGAATTACAATGTTAAAGAGGTTCCTGGTACCTCCAATATCTGAGCCATTCTGGAGTTCTAGAGCACAAACATAGCTGGCTTCCCTACTTAAGCAATGTGAAAAAGCATAACCCAAGTCAGCTACCTCAGGTATCTCAAACTACTTTCCCAAAATTGATACTTCTTATCTGCTATCCTATTCTTTGCTTCTATGGGTTTATACCTTAAAAAAATTTTTGAGATAAATGTGTGTTAATTCCACCATTTTAATTAAAGGTATATCAATAATGATCTTTAAAAAGCTTTCAATTTCTGTATGGCTATTTATGAATTTTAAAAGAATAAACATTTAAAGATTTGAGTAGTCTTAAGGAAAAAAATGATCCTTCAAAAACAGCATTAATTACATTCTGATTTAAGAAATATATTAAACTTACTTTTGAGGCCAATAGGTTAAGCCTAAGGAATTTAGCCAAGATTCAGGAATAAAAGCCCACACGAGATAAAGTACTGTAGAAGAGGAAACAAAACAAAACAAAACAAGAGAGAAATAGTCAGTAAGGCATGCATTCAATCTATTAAGGTTTATTTAAACAAAAAAGCTTCTTTGAAGTGTCCGAAATTTACTCAGAAATGATTTTTCCTTCCTTTCAGTTCTTCTAGCTCATTTGTACCATTTTTATATTTATCATAATTACCTTATTATTGGCCATTTTGGAACATGTCTTAATTCTCACAGTATATTTTAAAAAATTGAAGGGCACAAATCATGTCTTAGCAACTGTCATAATCCTTGTATTACCTAGTAGTTTGTTTTACGTACAATAGGTGTTCAATACTTCACCTCCACAGAGCTGAAGTAATTATAGACATTTAGTAGGTTAAAGGGGAATTTACCCTAGTTTTGATCCACTATATGTTGAGCTCCTGCCTTATTTCCCAGAGTAGTTTCCTGCAATCCCAAATCGTTTACTGTTGTCCCTACAACAGCTAAGCTCTAAGCACTCACTGTGAGTTAAACATGGTTCCAAGCATTCTATATACATTTCATATAATCCTCAAAACAATCCTCTGAGGCATGTGTGTACTTTTTACAGATGAAGAAATGGAATCTTACAAAGGCTGTATCATATGCCCAAGGTAAGTGGCAGAGACAATTTTAAACTATTAAATATCTATATCATTAATGAGTATGTGCTACAGAACTCTGTGTGTTTGGAGTGTGAGAGATGGCTTCTGCCCTCCCTGAGCTTAAGATCTAGTGGTGAATAGAAAGGAGTAAATTGGTATTTTCATTACACTGTGATAAGTGCTAATAAATGAGTAATCAAAGATGACACCGAAACACATTAGAAGAACCTCCTTCCACTCATAATACTCTTCTCCTTGATTTCTCTCCATAGTACATTATCATTTGAAAGTGTGTATGTTTTACTTATTTAATTTGTTCAATGACTATCTCCTCCCACTAGAATGAAAACTCTATGGAAGCAGGAAATTTTTGGCTATTTTGCTCCTCCCTGACTATAACAGTCCCTGGCACAGGGTAAGCACCCAATAAATAACTGAATTAATTTTGGGTTGTGGGTGTTATGGGATTTAAGCCTTAAAGTCATTGCTTTTATTTATTTGTATAGTTTCTGATCCTTGAAACACTTTTGAACAAGGATTTACAAAGACAATGATACAACAGTAGCTAACATTTATTTAGTTCTTCTTGTTCCTATGCATTGTCTTAAGTGCTTTACATAAATTACCCCAGTTAATCCTCCCAACAGTCATAAGAGGCAGCAGGGTGATGTCAGCCAGTGTGTGTGGGTTCAAATTCTAGCTCTATCATTTAATAGCTTTGCGACCCTAGGCAAGTTACTTACACCTCAGTACTCTTATCTTTAAAATGAAGACAATAATATTACCTATATGATAGGATTGTTTTATGCATAATAAGCATTCAACAACTATCATTATCAACACCCTTTTAGAGAAGAGGAAACTGAGGCTCAAAGAAGTTAAGTAAATGGTCCCAGGTCACACAGCTAATCCATGGAGGAGTCAGAATTTAAACTCGGTCACAACTTTCTCATTTCACAGATTCTGCTAGGCAACAGCCTGGCCATTAGGTCCATCTGCAAGCTGTACTGATGATGCAGGTTGATATTTTTCAGTTACGGTTCACAAGTACTATCACTCCACCTTTGTGGTTTCCGCAAAGTTCCAGAAAGTTCTACCCCGGGGACTGGATTTTCTCCCTCATTTGCCTCATAATACCCAAATCCTTTGGGGGAGAGACTTGGGGCCTGCTGTGTGACTCTGGACATATTACTGTGTCGGTGTCAGTTTCCTTAACTGTAAAACGTCATATTCAAGATGTCAAGGGCACACACTTCATTCAATATGGCTTCTCTAGCCTAATCCTCTTCACTCCCCAGCTGTAGTGGAGCCAAACTCCTCACTTCCCAACCCTCTCGTGCCTTCATTCAAGGCCTTTTCCACGTCTTCCCTCCATCCTACTTATTCTTTTCTAAGCGGTGTAAGTGCCAGGGGGAAAGTCTCCTGGAGAAAGCTAACTGACTTTCCAGTCAGATTCCCACGTCTCCGCACTGCGCTCCCTCGCCACCATCACACTGCGCATTTACTTCTCTGTCTCACCCACAAGAAAGACCACGCCCTCCAAGGGCAAGGACCAGGTTTATTCATTTTGCCATCGTGCCTGGTACTGTATAAGCATTTGTTTGAGATTAAACCTCTTACGCTAATGAGGGCACACAGAACACTGAAGAAAACATCAGTTCCCTTCAGGTTTTGTTAAAACGAGACATAAAGAATCAACAGGTCGTGCGTGCACGTTCTAAGAACAAACGTTATTATTTCCTTGTCATTGAACACCAGAAACGGCTCCTGGCCATCCATCAGGAAAGTACTTACTGAAGCCAAACTGGGAGCTTAAGAACAGAACAAAGCCATAAATCGCTCTTTCTGGCAATGGCGACGGTGAATTTTCCACCATTTTCCCCTGTGGCTTCCGACACTGCGGAAAAGAACACAATCATCCGTCAGTGATTCACTCCCCCTCACCATTGGTCTATTATAACCTCATCGCTTCGCTATGGGCACTGCCTCTGCGGAGCATTAAGTGCCATCCCGCGCACACCCCCCGCCACACGCCCGCGTGCACGCGCGCTCGCAGCGCCCATGCCGGCGCGCGCACA